TGTCCTCGTTGGTCTCCGTTCCCAGGGATGTCCCCTCTTTGCTTCCTGCCGCCCCCCGATCTACCACCGGTGGATGCCACGCAATTTCCTACGTCCCCGCCTTAGATTCTAACATACAACGGAAGCCGCAGAGCTGCCACCGTCCGGAGCGTTTTCTCCGTTGAGATTTCGCTCCCCGGGGACTGTTGTCAGTTTGGTTGAAATCGACTCATAAAAATTCTCCGCAGGTTTGGACGTTTCTTTCATCGACAGCAGCATAGTGAACAGTGCAAACCTGAGCGCTTCACCGGTCGGGAGGGCTTCACCGGTCGGGAGGGGGGCCGGTGTCTGCTCCCACCGTATCCGCCCAGCCCTGTGCAGAGGGCCTAGCTAAGGCCAAGAAGGCAAAGAAAAGAAGTAACGGGTACAGGGTTGGAAAAGAACTAAAATCGTTCTTCCCCAGAGAGGAGGTTTTGAATGTAGAAACCCAAAGAATCTTGTCTCGGCGGGCCGAGGCGCCATGACAAAATACCACGCGGGCGACATCACAGAGATTCACCTCTCTTGGCTCTGGAGGCTGAGGAGTCCACAGCCCAGTTCCGACCCGGCTGGGCTTCTGGGGCACGCTCCCCCCGGCTCGCAGGCACCAGTTTAGAGAGGCAGGTCGCTCTCCCCCTTCTCATGGGGCCACCAGTCCTGTCGGATCAGGGCCCACCCTTAGGACCTCGTTTAGTCCCAGTCACCCTCTAAAAGCCCTGCCCTTGCAGACAGTCACACTAGGGGCTGGGGTTTCAGCATCCGAATTTGATGGGGACACAGTTCAGTCCGCAGCAAATCTCCAGATAAATAGATCAAATTTATAAAGAACTAAGCATGACCATCTGATAAGTAGCCAGTACAGGAAAATCAATTACATTTCTATACACAAGTAATAAACCATTTTTTATATTTAAAAAGATGTTAACGATGCCATGTGCAAAGCATCAACAAACACATCAGTACTCAGGAATAAATCTAACAACAAACGTGCCAGGCCCGAATGTGGAAGGGTGCAGCCCGCCGCTGCAGAAGCTCACGCCTCCGAGCGAAGGAGCACGCCGGGTCCGCCTTCGTAAAGGAGAGTTGCTGTCGAGATGTTCTCGGTTCTCTCCAAACTCATCTTCACATGCAACGCAATCCCAGTCGGAACCCCAGCTCGCTCTTATGAAAACTGACACGTTCATTCTAAGATTTAGATGGAAATACGAAAGCCCAGGAGCTCCGAGACCGTCTTGAAGGAGGTCAGCCAAGCTGTGTTGTGAGCTCTGGCGGAGCATGTGGCGGGCGCACAGCCTGTGATGGCAGTTCTCCTGCATGAACCCGATGGGTGTGCGGACACAGTCACAAGAAGCCCCGTGCAGGGAGGCTTGCGGGAGGGCCATCCGTTACGGCCACACTGAAAACAACCCAGATGCCCCGCACGACAGTGGACTGTCCCTACAGGGGCTTGGGGTGCAGTCTGGATGGAGGGGGTCCACTGTGCCTACTTCACTGAGATGTAATCACATACCACAGACCTCACCCTTTAAAGTGTTCAAACCCACGTTTTCAGTGTGTTCACGGGTGCGGCCACCACCACAGCGGTTTCAGATCCTTCTGTCACCTTGGAGAGAACCCCGGGCCTGTCAGCTGTTACCCCCAGTGCTGTCTCCCCAGCCCCTGGCAGCAGCTAGCTGTTTGCTTGCTGCCCCTGTGGGTTTCCCTGTCCTGGACGTCACACGGAAACAGCAGCACAGTTGGTGTGGCCTTTTGTGCCTGGGCATTCCCACGCAGCACGGCGTTGGTGGGGCTCACCCGCGTGGCGGGGTGTCAGTCCTGGGCACCCTCACACAGCACGGCGTTGGTGGGGCTCACCCGCGTGGTGGGGTGTCGGTCCTGGGCACCCTCACACAGCATGGCACTGGTGGGGCTCACCCGCGTGGCGGGGTGTCAGTGCCAAGCTGCACCACGGTGCACATGGCGACACAGACCGCTTACACAGCTGCGGCTGGGCGGGCGTTCCGGGGGTTCCTCCTTCGGGCTTCTGTGAGCACAGGCGTGCGTGTCTGTGTGGACACGTGCTTTCCTTCTCCAGGGTGGGTCCTGGCGGGGAGGGTTGCTCTGTCATGGGGTAGCTCCACGTTGGGCCACCAGATTTTTCACAGAGCTGCCCAACTGACCCCACCCACCCCACAGTGTCTGAATTCATGGCTCTGGCCATCCAGAAGGTGTGCAGGCCACGTGTCCTGAGGGAGGCACTGGGCACCGGTGTGATGGGTGGCAGGGAGCAGGTGTGCACGGGACGCCTCCGAGCAGGGCGTCTGCTGCACGCCCGGCCACCCCACGCTGCCCTGCAGGGCCTCTGCCTCCCCCCCGGACTTGGTCCCCACGGCTTGCTGCTGCCCGGCTGGGCTCCCCTCCCTGTGCTCTTCCTGCCCCGTGGGTTCTCAGGGTTGGCACTGAGGCCACACTCCGGCTGCTGTCACTGTCACCGACACGGGTAGCTGCCTGTGTCACCAGGTCGCTCGGGTTCTTCTCCTAAGAAGTAGCTTGGGGCCCTGGGGGCTCGAGGGGTCAGTCACCCCGGGGTGGACCCAGTGTGTGCGTGCAGCCAGCCTTGTGCTTCGTGGGACACCGTCACCCCGGGCACCGACGCTCCTCCAGCCTGCTGCCCCCTGGCGGCCGCGCTGGATGCTCGTGAGCGAGCTCGGCCGCCCCTGGGACACTCAGCCTTCGTGCGAGGGACTTGGGACCCGGGAAGATCTCGGGGAGGCTGCAGGACGCCTGGCTTCGGCGCGGGGCACGCACGATCCCAGTTAGCGCCCCAACAGCCCTGTGGGCCGGCACGGCGCCATTCCCGAATTATGGGGGAGTGGACTGAGGCGCGGGGGCTGGGAGAGCCTGTCCGCAGGAAGCCGTCCTCGGAAGTCCTGGGGCTTCAGGCCGAGTCCAGTGACGCGGGCAGCGGGGGCGCGCCCCACCAAGCCTGAGCTCCACCATCAGTGTTAGCGCCCCCTGGACACCCACGAGCATGCTGGCCACTCCAGGGGTCAGGCATAGGTGGCACCCCAGAGGCCCCGGCCAGACGGTTCAAAGCCACCTTCCCCGGCTACACAGCCTCCCCCAGGGCCTGGCCATGCCAGGTGGAGGTGGGTGAGCCACCTGCACTGCTGGGCAGCATGCTTGTCAGAGTGGGAAGCTGGAGGGCGTGGGGCTGAAGGCCATTATGTTGCTGGCAACTGCGAGTGTGGCAGACATCAGGGGAGCCTGGGTGGGACCCCGGCGGGTGCAGGGCTCACCCGTGCATGGCCATCTGTCTCTACATGGTGACTCGAGGAACAATGAGGTGCCTACTCAGGTATGGGTCCTGCCTGGCGACCTGGGAGGACAGCAGTGAACAAACAGCAGGGTGTCTGGTCCCTCGGGAGCCCCAGGTGGGGGCACGCCTGGGGAAGAGCCCAGAGTGTAGTGGGGGGGCGCCCAGGGGGCCCTCCTGGCTCACCTCCTCAGTGCCCACCTCCCTGCACGGACCTCAGAGCTTTGAGGGTGGACCTCACGGTGCCTCCGTGCCTCAGGTCACCGGGGGTAGCAGGAGGAGGGGATGACGGAGGGAGGGAGTGAGCTAGCAAATGAACGAACGAATGAACGAATGAATGGGCGAGGGAGGGAGTGAAGGCCACGCGCTGGCGGTCCCTCGGCTCTCAGCACTGGGAGACCCTCCCATGAAGTTTCCGTGCGCAACGTGAGTCAGGTGGAGAGGAGAACGGTTCGTGGCCGCGGCTGCAGACACGGTCACGGCGAGACCCCCACTCACCGCCAGGGAGGGGGCGTGGGGCGCGCACAGTGCGTGACACGGTGTCAGCCCCTAAGAGGGATTTAAATGAGTAAATCAAAGAGGAGACACAGGGACGGACGTGCAGAGGAAGAGGCCACGTGAGGACAGAGGCAGCGATGGGGGTGACAGGGCCACAGCCCAGGACTGTGTCAGCCCCAGGAGCTGGGGGAGGGGCCTGACACCGGCCGTCCCTCGGAGCCACCGGGAGGACCCAGCCTGTGGCACCTTGATCTCGGTAGTCAGTTGCAGCAGCCTTGGGAGGCTCAGTCCAGTCCTGAACATTCCAGACCATTCCAGAACCCCCAGCCACTCGGAGCTCCCAGGGCGCATGCCCCTCCCCCGAGCCTGGCTTCCTAGAGGGCCCCAGAGGAAGGCGTCTGCCTGAAAAGGCAGCGACGTGATTTCACTTAAGGGGACGTTGGGGCGGACATTCATTTTGCGTTTTTATTCTGAAGCTATTTTCTAAATGTACCTGCTCAATGTCTGTCACGGAGAGCGACAGTGGCTGGCCGCCTCACAGGAACAAGGACATAATTTAGCACAGAGGCCAGCTCAGCTTCCTGGACGACAAACCCCTAGCATGAGCCTGGAGCCCTCTGTCCCTGGCACCCGCTGTCAGTCTGGGCGCTGCGAGCAGGTGTGGCAAGCCGCAGGCAGAGGTGGGGGGTCAGCCCTGGCGAGGCCGTCACCGGCATGCTTCGGGTTCGGCCTGTGCCGAGCCCACGGCCGCTTCCCCCGACAACGAATCCAGGACGCCTTGAAGGGAGGGGATCCCCACCATCCTCTGGCCCTCCTTGTCCGCCGTCGCCCGTCCTGGCGTCCGCCGGGGTTCCAGCCGATGGTGTTTATGACAGCGCCTGCGACGCCGTGTGGCTGCCTGCTGGGGACCAGAGCCGCTGGCATCTGCTCCACAGCTACCCCGAGGGGCGCCCTTCGGCACCAGACCCCCCGGGAAACAGAGCCAGCCCTGCCGAGGGCCTCGGAGTGGGGCTCCTCCCTGGAGGCCTGTGCACCCCGCACTGACCAGGCGCTGCTCGTAGGTGCTCAGTGTGCATGGTCGTTGGGGGCAGAGCATAGAGGCCCACGTGGTACTGTCACAGCCATCGAAGCCACACCCACAGAAAAGCCCAGAAACTAAAGTCGTCTCCGTGGATGCCGATGTCATGACCGGGCCCCTCCCCACACCCAGCGTGCGCCAGCTGCCCCCAGCACCGGGCAGGCACGTGGCCTCTGCTGACAGCCGAGCCGGCCAGCCGGAACAAGCCACACTGCTTGCACTCACGGCTGTTGGGGACAGCGGCCCTTAGCCTGGGCTTGCTGTCACCTGCCATGTGGGGCCCAGAGGGCAAGCCTAGGGGTCTGGGACCCAAGGTGCAGAGGTTCACGAGAAATCGGTGGCACGTCTGCCCGAGGGGGCTCTGCGGCCAGCTCAGTGGACGGAGAAGTCACGCGGCTGGCCCTGGACTCCCGCGCTGGCCGTGAGCCCCGACGGCCAGCGGGCTCAGCAGGACTCCTCGCCCAGCCTCTCCGGGGCGCACAGCGAGGCCCACGCGCCCGGCCGTGGCCCTGGAGGCTGGACGGGCTGCGGGAACACGCAGCTGTCCGTGAGCGACGTGGGCGACTGTGCCTCGCCGGAGCCCTTCGAACGCACGAGCTCGGTGGCGTCCGTGTGGGAGTACCGCTCCTTCCACTCCCTGTGGATTCTGGACACTTCCTGCCGCGAGTGGCCCGTGGCCAGCACGTAGATGATGGGGTCGGCCACGCTGTTCACGGTGGACAGGCACAGGAACATCACGGAGACGGTGCACAGCCGGGTCTCGAAGGCGCACAGGGGGCCCGCGTCGCCGCCGTAGTAGGAGAAGGCGGCGGCTTTGGCGAGGAGCACCAGGTGGTAGGGCGCGAAGCACACCAGGAAGATGGCCACGACCGCGATGGCCGTGCGCTTCACCCCCGCCTTCTGGGCGGCGCTCAGGCCCTCGCTCCGCCGGACGCTCCTGAAGATGCGGTGGTTGGTGAAGGCGATGATGGACAGCGGGAGCGCGAAGCCCACTGCAAACCGCAGGTAGTAGTAGCGGGCGATCTGGCCGTTCGGGGGCGCCGTCTCGAAGCAGGTGTCCTTGACGTCCATCTGGAACACCGGGTAGTGAACCAGCCCCACGAGGAGGAAGACGGACACGCACACGAGCACGGCGGTCCTCTGGCGGCGGCGGCCCCGGCTCTCCAGCGCGTACACCACCGCCACGAAGCGGTCGCACGAGACGCAGCACAGGAAGAGGATGCTCACGTACAGGTTGCAGAAGAAGATGTAGCCGGTGACCTTGCAGGCGCCCGGGCCCAGGGTCCAGCGGTGCTGGTTCTGGACGTAGATGACCCAGAGCGGCAGGGTGCTGGCGTAGAGCAGCTCGCAGAGCGCCAGGCAGAACAGGTAGACGGCCAGCACGTTGCCCTGCAGGGCCTGCAGCAGCGTCAGCCAGGCCGTCAGGCAGTTGGCCGGCAGGCCCAGCGAGAACACGGAGCAGTACACCGCCACCACGAACACTCGGCTCACCTCGAAGGACAGGTTGCACTTCACGGTGTCCACATCCAGGGTCAGGGGCACGGAGACAGGGCCGGGCGCCAGCGTGGCGTTTCCTGCGGGACAGACAGGCGTGAGGAGCCGCCTAGAAGGGACTCTACGAGTCGCGGGGCTCCGGACCAGACACGCCAGACACCTAAGATCTCCAAACGGGCTTCTCGGAGTGGCCCGCGGCCTCGGGTCGCCAGCCCCACCGCGTCACGACGGGTCACAGGCTGTGCCCCACGAGTCCTTGCCACTCCCTCGGGTCCGTTTTCAAAAGGGCTGTTTGTGCACTCGAAAAGAAAGTTTCTTCTCTGGCTGCTGAGTGAAGGCTCTCTCGTGTGGTCCCCACGGAGTCTGGGGCTAGGTGACAGGTGACGCCTGTCTGTGCTCGGGCTGTCCCCACCTGGAAGCTCCTTCCTAAGCCCCCCACTGCTGTGCGAGGAGCCTGCCCCCCTCCCTGGCCCCCCGTAGTCACGGCCTGGAGGACGGGAGACAGAGAACCCAGAATCCGAGAGAGGGCGTCTCTGGAGTGACTCGGGTCCCCTCCCTGCTTCCCGTCGCCCTGCCAACACTGCCCCACCGAGACCCCTAGTACAGTCCAGTCTCCTGCCATCCGCTTGGGGCCACACGTGGCCAGGCACTCGGCCTCCAGTCTTCACCGTCCTACGCCAAGTCCCTTCTCTGTGCCCCGTCTGGTGACCAGTCCTGGGTGTGCCGGTGAGGGCCTGCTCACTTCCTTCATGGGTGACCTCCTGGGCAAAGAGCCTTCCCGGGGCGGGGCACAGGAGCCCCCAGAAGCGGAGGGTGACAGGGGACACCCGTGACAGCCCCGTGCCTGGGTCTCTCACAAGAAATGGCGTGACGTGAGGCCCAGGTGGGTGGTGGAGCCTCCCTCGCCCCGACCCCCATCCCAGCCCAGTTTTCCTAACTCCTCAAAGGGACAGGTGCTCTCTGAAGGCGTGATGGACAGACAGCCTCTGGCTTTATCACTGGTGAGTGAGTTTGAGTCTATTTTTGTAGGCTAATTTTTGACATAATTATCCCCTTTCTGAGACAAAGTACGGAAATTCTGCCGGTCTTTTTCCTACGAGTGTGAAGCCAGAGGCGGCACGGGGCCCTCACCTGGCATGTTCGCAGGTCCCAGTGTCCCGGCGCCTCTACAGTGGGCTTTTCAGGGCTCGGCACAGTACGTGTCACGTCTTATCGGTCCCGTTGAGAAGGTCACTCAGAGAGTTTGAAAGGACCTGGAAAAAGGAGGTTGAAATTGCTTTCGGGAAATCAGATTAAATCACATCCCAAGTCATCGGCAAACGGTCGGTGCGCGTTCACGACGAGCCAAGCCTTGCTTCCCCCCCGCGGGTGTTACACAGGAGGACAAGGGCTGGGCGTGGTGGCCTCAGCCTTCCTCCACGGCACAGCCGGTCCCTTAATATATAAAGAACGCTCACAGATCAATAAAAATCAGAACTGTCAGAGACAACGAGCAGATAACTCACAGAAGAAGCAAAAATAGTTCCCCCAAATCAAAAAGGCACTAAATTCCACTTATAAATAAAGGGACACGCACATGAACGTTTAGACAGCAGCCTTTTTTCCGCCTGTCGGGGAGCTCGGGGGTCGGGAGAGGCTGAGGAGGCCCATGCGGGGAGAGCTGGCACGCTGCTTCAGCGTGCTTCCCAAACCTCCGATGCGCTCAACCTTTGATCCGAGCCCTTTCTAGGAATTTTCCCTGATGAGATCATTCCCGGGATGCCAAGCCCACATGACGTGAAGCAAGTCTCAGCACGCCCCGTGCGGAAGGGGCCCGGACCCCCTGGAGAGCACCCACGATGCCCTCAGCCTTCGCTCACTCCGTCCTGTCCTAACCACGGACCGCAGGAGCCCCCGACACAGGAGTGCTCTAAAGCAGGGGTCCCCAACCTTTGTGGCACCGGGGACCGGTGCTCCTATGAGAATCGAGTGCCCGACGACCTGAGGCGGAGCTGAGGCGGTGATGCCGGCGCTGGCAGCGGCTGCAGATACGGATGAAGCTTCGCTTGCTCGCCACCGCTCACCTCCTGCTGTGCGGCCTGGTGCCTAACAGGCCACAGACCGGTACTGGTCAGCGGCCCAGGGCTTAGGGACCCCTGCTCTAAACCCATCCTCAGACGCTGTGCCCCGAGGGGCCCCTGGATCCCGTGTGCTCTGTGGGGCAGCCCACGCGTCTCTCAGCCCTGCAGACAGTGTCATGGAGGCCCAGAGGGGTGTCTGCGCTGGCTGCCATCATGCCGCCTGGGGCCAGGCCCCGGCCCCAAGCCCCTGCCCGATCGGGTGCCACGGGCGGGGTGGGGCCGCAGTCAGCCCCCCAGGAGCTGGCAAGCTGCCTCGACCAGCCTCCCAGCCTCCCTTCCCAGCATGCCTCTGCCACCTGGGAATCCCAGGAAGCCAAGACGTCTCCGGAAACTGCAGAGCTCAGCTGGGCAGACGTCTCCGGTGAGGCTAGAAACACGTGCCAAGGAGCGGCACGCAGGCGAAGAAGAGCCGAGATGTGCCATGGCGAGCGCCGTGAGCCGAGCCCGGCACCCTGCGACGGCCCGGGGGGCTGGGCCCTGCCCGCCCACTGCGCGCCATGGCCTGGCCACTGGGCGCTGTGGCCCAGGACCCGTGCTGGACTCTGTCTTCCGGTGACGGTCCGGGGGCCCCTGGCGGATGCGTGTGGGGCCTGCAGCCCAGCGAGAGACGCACACTCTGCAAGATGGAGGCCCAGCCCGGGGGGTCAGCAGGGCGCATGGGCCGGGGCCCCCTGGAGGAGCTGCTGGGGAGCCAGCCCCCCGTGAGCAGGGCCACCAACCCCCCGCCCCCTGCCCGCTTCCTTCATCAGAAGGGGCTGAGCTTCGCTGGGAGGGTTCCGGAAGGTGGGCTCTGGCAGCCTGGGTGGGAGCATGAGCCCTCTCCCCAGGGGTGCCCACCAGCTGTCCCCCTGAAATATGCAAGAGCACATGGGGTGGCATCTCTAGAAACTGCTTCTGCAAAACAGGAAGTGGTGGCCCACTTCCTCTGAGCCGTTTCAAAGGCTGTCCCCTGAGGGCACAGGCTGGTCAAGGTGGGGCGGGGGTTCCAGGGCAGCCCACTCGGCACCACCAGCCCGGTGCAGCCTGCGCAGTGCCAGGCGCTGATGTCCAGAGACTGGGCCACGTCACCAGCCATCGGCTGCCAATGCTCTGGCTAGACAGATGGGGAGGGGGAGCAGGGGACCACTTTGAAACAGTCAGCAGCCCCAGAACCAGGCCTGGGCCGGGACAGCCAACGCCTGACGCCAAAAAAAACTCTTTCCTTACATCACCCCGTGTCCCAGGCCACCTTTAGGGACATGGATGGGGGTCCCAGCTGCGGGGCCGGCAGAGCAATGACCGTGGTGGCTCTGACTCAGCGGGAGGCTGCTCGCCACCTGGCCGCGATGGCCCCTGACCTCAACACCACCTGTGGCCCATAGCCCCGTGCCCTCAGCCCAGTGGCTGCTGCACGCGGGCCAGCTGGCCTCCGCCGGCCATTGCCACCACCCCCAGGGCGCACCCGCGGCTACCTCGCCACGCCTGTCCACTGCGGGTCCCCTGAACACACCCAGCTCCCGGAGGAGAGAAGCTGGCCAGCTAGAGACCACGGGCTCTGGCGTGAGCCCACCCCACCCCCGTCCTCTCCAGTGTCAACTGAGGAACTTTCCAGAGACGCAGCCTCACGCACGGCGAGCCCCACGGTCCGGCAGGCTGACCTGCGGCCTCGGGATGCTGGGAAGCAGCCTGGGCCGGTGACCATCGCTGGCTCGGCCCCTCCCTCTGGGCTACCGTGCTGACTGGATTCACCGTCCTGCTTTAGGCAACCTCGTTCCTGGTGGGCCCCAGCCCACGACACGGCGCCCACGTGGGCAGGCGCTGGCCTCGCCGCCCCGTCCAGCCGGGAGACCTGTTTTCTGTGTCTCCCGTTCTCATCGGGCTTCTTACTGGTTTTAGAGCACATCTGCATTTCCTCGATGCCAGCGAGATGGAGCCCCCATCCCCAGGTCTATCCACAGTCACCTGGTGCCACCTTCGCCCCCGCGTCCCTCCCTCCACCTCCACCCAGAGGTGTCTGTCCTCATGCCCCACAGGCTCCTTGGCTTAGGAAGGCCCTGGAGGCAAGAGAGCCAGGTGCTTTGTACCCCCACACCTGCCCCGCCAAACACCCTGAGAATCAGCAACAAGCACAAGACACCCAGGAAATTCCCAGGGCTGTGGGGATCCAAGGGGGGCTCCAGGGTGGCCCTGAGCTCCTGGACCTGACAGCCAGGTGAGACCTTGCAGGAGAGTCCTGGGGTAGAGACTCTCACAGAGCAGACGGTCCCTGCTCCCCCAGCCCTTGGGGGACCGTGCACTGCTCCTCTCTTGGTGAAGGAGCCCCCAGCCGAGACCCTCGATCGAGCCCACCTTTACGCCAACAGATGGCCTCTGCTGCCGCCCCGCACGTGCAGACTCGCTCGGCCCGGCCGCCAGCGTCCGCCCCGCCAGCGTGTGCCCCGCAAGGAGCTTTCAGGAAGCAGCCAGGTCCCAGTGTGTTGTCTCTAAAAGTCCCCAACCACAGAGCGAGCCCAGGGTTGGCCGGTCGTGTGAGGTGCTGTGTCACTGGTGGTGACGCTGTGGCCTCGTTACTTTGCTGGGAGCAGACGACAGGAAACAGGACCAGATTCACTTCTCTTCACGGTTCTAACGACTCCCAGAGACAAGCGGCCCCAACAGACACAGCGGGCCCCACGGGGTGGCCAGCAGCTCTGGGGCCAGGGCCTGGCAGGGGGCCTGGAGGGCAGGGGGGCGCAGAGCGGAGCCAGCCTCCGAGACACTGGGGCTCCCCCAGAGCCCAGCGGACAGACACTGCTCGCGTGGCCCAGGCCGGCTCCTGACGCCCAGCGCCCAGTGCAGGCCCCACCGTCCTGCTTCCTTTCTGGGGGACCAGCTGGAGGAAACGGGCCCCTGGATGCCTCCTTCGGCTCTGCCTCCACCCTCCAGGGCCAATCACAGCCTGGCCCGGTGACCTCCGCTGCCGGGTTTTCCCGTGAGGGGCCACGTGGACACATTGTCCTTCACCAAGGCACCGCCTGCCCTGCCAGGCACAGTCACCTGTCTGTCACTGGCTTATAGGACGCCAGGTTAAACCATCTCTCATCCAAACACATGGCCCCACTTCCTCAACAGTACTGGTGGCCGACTGTCTGCCTGACCAAACCACCCTCATCCAATGGGCCGGTTCCGGGTTTTGGGGTGCCACAGAGGGTGCTGTGTCAGCCCCTTCCCTTTGCCACCACGGAGGCCTGACCCGGGCCTGGCTGCTGCAGCCCTGGGGGGCACTCGGGCACCTGTGCCAGCACAGCAGCAGGCCCCGCCCCGCGTGTTCCGGGGAGCCCCAGACCACAAGCCTCCTGGCAGGCGAGCAAGGCCTCCTCTCAGTCCCCCCGACAGCAGCTCCTCAGGAGGCGGGGGTGGCTGCCAAGTGCCTAGAAAGCTGGGCCTGGCACGTGTGCAGGTCTGAACACAGGGCTCCCCTCGGCCTTCTGGAAACACCTGCCCAGGGGCTGTGGCGTCCACGGACCACCACCCAAGGGTGTCGCCTGCCTCCCAGAAGCTCAGGCCCTCTGCAAGCGTGCAGCAGCAGGTGGAGTTGAGGCTCCGGGCACCCGAGGACCACTGCCCCTTGGCGGTGGCCTCCAAGGCCCCAGGACCCATGGACATCAGGCCTCGGCAGGGGCAGAGCCCACAGCGGGCCAGCCGGGCTGGGAGTCCCTGGAGGCGGCAGGGGCAGCCAACATTTCCCACTGGCAGCCAGGCCCACCCTCGGAACTGTTCCCCTCTGCACCCTCACGTAGGACTCCCCTGCACCCCAGTGGACAGGTCCAGGCGGAGAGCACAGATGCGACCCTCGGTGCCACGGCTGGTTGGTCAGGGGTGGCAATCAATTTTCGCCGTTCAGCTGAACCATCCTGCTGGGCTCTCCACAGGGTCTGGGAAGAGAAGGCTGGGCCTGAGGACAGGGCCGAGGGGTGTGAGCCTGGGGGGCAGCTGCGCCCACCCCACCTCAGGGCCCTCCTGTGCACTAATCCCCGACAGGACAGGAGGGCTACGGGAGGGAGGTTCCGGGCAGGTGAGGGGCGAGGGTGGAGCGGAGCAGGGGTGAGCTCGCCTGGCCAGGGGGCTGGGAGAACCCCCGAGGGCTGGGTCTGCGGGCAGGCGAGTGAGGTTCGCAGCCCCTCGACGACAGCCCCAGGCCCCCAGGAGGAGAGGGCCCCTTGCTGCTGCCTCCACCGGGCAGGTGCACAAATTATCCCGAATTTGAGAAATGACCCACCCTGCCTCTGTAGGGGTGACCCGATGGCTTGACTGTTCAGATTTGTCATTGAGATGCTGGGTGCCAACAGTGAGCCTACGTCGTGTGTCAGTCCACTGCTGTGACGCCCAGTCCTGTCCACTGAGGTGACCGCTGCTGCTTCTACGAGCCTTCCCGTCTTCCCGGGCTCTCGGCGTGTCCCCATCCTGCCGTGGAGCAGGGTGTGGGCCTTGGGGCCTCGGTTCCGCCCGATCAGGGGCCCTGGGAGTTCCCGGGGGACTCAGGTGCCCTCACAGTGGGCGGGGGTTCCCCAGGCACCAACTGGGAAGGGTTCTCGGGGCGGTTTGTGAGGGAGTGAGCCTGAGGGAGCATGGCTGGGGGAGGAGTGGGACTTTTGAGAAGTGTCACCCAGAGAGCTTGGTGATTCTGAAACCGTCCTCGCCTCCCATGTTCCCCTGACCAGGACCCGCCCTGCGTGTGAATCAGGAGTCGTGGTCTCAGCGAAGTCACGGCGTGTCCTGCTCAGCCCGGAGCGGGGCGCTTCTCCCCAGGGAGCCCACGCCACCCTGCCCCTGCACAGGCCCTGCTCTTGGGGCTGGGACCCTGTCTTCCCATGGTCGAAGGCGGCTGCTGCAGCTCCAGCCTTCACGTCTCCGTTCCAGGTGTCAGGAAGGAAGTTGAGGACAGTGGGCTCTCCCCGTAGGAGACGCCCCAGAGCTGTCGCCAGAGCAGTCCTGTCCCGGAGGCCACAGTGTGGCCTTCGACTTGGCTGGGCCCAGGCCACCGGGTCTGCTCCTAGCTGGACATAGAACATGCCTGTGGAGCCGTGCGCCGCCTGGGCACACGTGGACACCAGGTCCTCCGCTACCTGGGGGGACAGGTCTCGACAGGCAGGCGGGGCGCACTCTGGCCCCTGGATGAAATTGCCCCACATGAGAAAAGGGTGCAGAGGAGCGTAGGTCCGGGAGGAGGGAGGAGCCCGAGGCCGGGGAAGCTGGGGAGGAGCCTGGGGGAGGGGTGAGGAGGCCCCGCGAGGGCTGCACCCCGCCATGTGAGGGCGCGTCCCCCCAAAGCCCCCTCCCCGTGGAGCCCCCCGAAGTTGTACCTGCCCCGCCCTCACGAGACCGGATGGCCTTCGGCGGACAGCGTTGACGGACACTTTGGGGGATATTTTGGGGACCCACCGTCGCCATGTCTGCTGGGGGCGCCAGAGGGTTCCAGACAGCCGTGGACGGGGTTGCAGCCCCCTGAGTCCTGCTGGTGCGAGAGGCCCCCGCCTCTGTCTGGCCCCTTCGTCGGGGAGCCATAGGCGGGGGTTCACAGCCCGTTCACAGGAATCCCGCAGCCTGCAGCCCCGCGGCCCGGTGCAGCCCCGCAGCACCTCGAAACGGCCACACGTGCGTCCAGCCTCCGGGACGTCAAGGGTCACCCTTGGTGGCTGAGCGAGGACTGGGCCATGGACTACAAGGGTGGCGCTGGGAATGACGGGGGTCTCCTCCCACCGCACCCCCAAATCAGCTCAGGGGCTCGAAGGGCCCCCGTGGAGTGAACTGCGGAGCTCAGGGGAGCAAAGCGGCAGCTGCGGTCCTGGCTCCCCGTCCCTGGGCAGTCCCGCGGGGCCCCCACCGCGGGGCGCCCGATCCCCGCGCCAGCCAAGTGTGAGCTGCAAAGCCAAGGTCAGTGAGCACATGGGTGGGCGCCGAGCGCCAAGCGCCAAAGGCAGCACACGAGGGACGCCCGGGCACAGTGGACACGGGAGGCCAGAACAGGACAGCGACTGGAGGGGCCCGGGGAGCGGGGAGGCGGCCGGCACGGAGCTGGGCCATGGGAGGCCGGCGCTCAGGGCGCGGGCCCGGTGCAGGCAGAGCCTCTCCTAGGACAGGGCCCGGCCACACAGCCGCAGGAGGATGCAGTCAGCAGCTGTTTCATTAAGCCCCTACTGTGTGCCACGACCTAACCCCTACTCTGAAAGCAGGGATAAATTCTCTCCCCACCCCACGGGCCGGCTCCTTCCAGGAGTGTGGCCCGAGGCCCTGCTTTACAAACTGGATTGCCCTACAAGTGACACAGGAAGGCTCCCAGGGGCCAGAGCCACCCCAGACCCCCCAGAGGGACAGCAGAAGTGTAGCTGTGCAGGGCCCCCTCATTGCTCCCGCCCGGAGGGAAGACGGAGACTCAGCCCGGATGGGCGGGGGAGGGGGGTGCTGTCTGAGCTGCCTCCCTCCCAGCTCACCCCACAGTTCTCCTGGAGTCACCCGTAGAGGGGAAATGAAACAGAATCCTGCTCGGTGGACCCCTCCTGCCTCACCGCCTCCTCCACCCCTCCCCCACCCCATAGGCGGCCCAGGCTAGGGCTCCTCAGTGGCCCCCAGGGGACATTTTGCCTTTCTGGAGACATTTTTGGGGTTCCTTGGGTAGGGGAAACCAGAGATGATGCGAAACATCCCATAATGCACAGGACAGCTCTGCCCCGATAACAAAGTCCTTGGGCCCCAAATGTGCACAGTGCCGGGTGCCTGTGGGCAGAAGGGTCTGGAGCTGCTCTGGGGTCCCCCAGAGGGAGGAGCGTGGGTGGTCAGCTCTGCTTGAGCCAGGAGGCCAGAGAGTGGAAGGAGCACCCCCTGTGAGAGGGGCTGCCCCCAACCAGCCCCCAGGCTGTGACCCCAAGGCCAGGGCAGCTTGACCGAGGGGAGGAGCCTGCATGGCCAGGACCCCGCCCTGGGGCTCCCAGCAGCATCTGGGACCCCCAGCCTCCCCTACCTGTGACCCTGCCACAGGGGATAAACAGAAGTGACCTGGGAAGGGGTACTGCCAGGGGTGGGGCTGTTGTGGGTGCTGCCACGAGGCTCCCCTGCGCCACAACACCTTCCTGGGCAGACAGCACCCCACACGGAAATACTGCCTCCTAAGCCCTGCAAACCCCAGAAGCAATCCGGTTTCCTCTGCAGGGAGGTGACCGCAGCCACCTCAGCTGCCAGCAGTCTGGATCACACCAGGGCGGGGCCCGGCTGGGCTGCGGGGCTGGGGGGACCCGGCAAGCATTTACTGGGCACCTGCTGTGTGCACCTCAGATTGCCCTCAGTGGGTTCTGGAGGGAGGGTGGGGATCTGGCCCCAGGGGCTGACAGCCAGAGGAGGCACCAGCAGGAGGCACCAGCGAGAGGCCAC